TTGTTACTTTTACTTGAGTAAAGAAGTTTAATCAGTACTTCCACTTTTACCAGAGTATTTTTTAACACAAGTATCTGTACTTTTACTCAAGTACGGAAAGTGAGTACTTTTGCCAACTCTGGCGAGCAACCATTGCAGCCTGCTGGCTGTAATGTTGGCAGTGATCATCTTTAGATCTCTGCTCATTTTCAACCTCAACTTGTGCGATTTTATTTTTTCTTTCATTAAAGTGCATTGATTTATCACAGCCCGAAGAATTTACGTATGAATTACTAAATTCTGTTTTATAAACTTTAGCGCAGTGGATATAAATGCTTTTTAGTTGAGTCTTATGCTATTCATCCACAGGCTAAGTCTCTTTGACACAATCACTCATCTGTGCTGAGAAACTATGGAGCTTAATATTTACAGGGTTTGTACAGGAATGTACGGAAGAGGATTAGGGCCACTGGAAAAAAAAAAAAAAGTAACAGATTTTTAAATTTTATTTCAGTTTAACATGGGGGGAAAAAAGTCCGAATTCTGACTTTTTTCTCAGAATTCCGACTTTAATCTCAGAATTGTGGATCTTAATGTAGATGGGCACCATGAAGGAAGAGATGTGGAGCGCTCAGCTTTACTGACAAAGATGTTTGAGGTGGCCAGTGACACATTGGTGGAAAATGACGGAATTAGGCAACTTTTTACGTGTCCGAGGGGTCCCCTCATTAATGGAGGAGCAGAAGGTCATTAAAATGAGAGTGCTAGTCTCTAAAACAGACATGGCTATGGCTTGATGCTAACATGTTTGTTAGCTGTCAGAATTCTGAGAAAAAAAGTCACAATTCTGAGAATAAAGTCAGAATTCTGACTTTTTTCCCATGTTAAACTGAAGTAAAATTTAAAAATCAGTTAACTTTTTTTTTTTTTTTTTCAGGGGCCCTAATGCTCTTCCATAGGAATGAGTAAATCTAATTTAGTGCTTTTTAATGCTCTTAGAAATCATTTTAATGCCATCAACAAGTACCTGTGACTGTCATATATATATATATATATATATATATATATATATATATATATATATATATATATATGTGATTATTGTGGCATTTTAAATGCCACAATAATCACATTTAATGAACTTTAATGCCAATTAAGGCCTTAATTTAAAAAAATAATAATTTAAAGACTTTTAATGACCCCTGATTTAAGGCGTGTTACCTTAAAACATTTTATTCAAATGAGTTTGGACACAAGTTGTCGAAAGAGGAATTTCTTCACCATAATCACTAAGAAAACCAACCCTAATAATAAGACATTCAAAATATTGCAATATATTTAGTAATCACTCTGACTGTCACATTTTAATCAGTATGAGATCGCAGTGCGATGAGTTTCTCTGCATGATGTGGCGTCTGGCTGAGCCTCGCTATGGAGCTCAGACAGAAGCAGGAGAATTAAGCAGAGAAACCGTAACCATAAAAACAAAATGCAAACCGAAAACCTTATTTTTTACATCAAAATCGTGAAGGTTGGCATCTCTGGTGTCTGTTTAATTTTCCTATAGGACGCTTGAATACATTAGATAGATTTCTCACTATTTCATGTTTTTTTTTTTTGTTTAATCAGATAATTATCGTCTAGTACTAAAATCTGTTTGATGATGTGAAGCCTTTAAATGTAAAAAAAAAAAATAAAAAATAAAAAAAATAAAAAAGAAGAGATAGAAATGAGTAGGATGCTGTTTAATAGCAGCTTAGAGTCTCTGTGAGGACCAGCAGCTGCTCTACTGATCCAGCTTTTACCAACCGGCTGCTTCTGTCGGGGTTTTTATATGAAAAGCACACAGGCGACCATTTTACAGGAATATGTTGAGGTGTTCTTACGGTTGGCTTCTTGCCCTCCTTGAGCACCGTCTTCCGTCTTAACACCCCCTGGACGGTGACAGCTCCGGGATACAAGTGAACGGCAAGCTCCTCTGACTCAGCCGAGCTGCACCGGGACAGAGACAAACATCACAGGCGGCGTAAACAAACGGGTCACATGCACCGCCATGCAGATCAACGTACCAGAATCAACCAGGAAGAGAATGAAAGCAGAAACAATCTGCAGAGCCACCTTTAACGTGTCTTTATGGAACCGTTTTATGATACAGTTCTCCATCTCGCTTTGACAGGGCTGAATTTCACAGATATAAATCTTAATGGTTGTATTTATAGAGACGGGGGGGCAGACGTTAGTAAGGTGGTGTGCAGATTGTGTCTGTCTGGAGGATCAGAGCAGGAAACTCAGTGAAGAAGCCTGATAGAAAAAGAACCACCAGCTTGATAAACACCCTCCAGAGAAATGACTGGAAGCAGAAAGCTGTCGTCCCTCTATGAAAAGGATTATGACATAATGACCATCAGGTCATACTGGCAGATTCGCTCGAGGAAATAAATGCTTATTTTGAGCTCACAACATGTAAAGCGACAAGAGGATTCTCTCTTTGAATCCATTAAAGTTTTCAATATTGGAGCTTCAGACAAGTTGATCCTTGCTCTCCTGCTGAGCTTCCTCTGGTTCCTACACATTTAGATACCACATTTTACGGAGTTCTGAGTTCTTTACGGCCAATCAGATTCATCCACAATGAACAGGCTGCAAATATAAACCCAGAAACAAGGAAGGAAGGAAGGAAGGAAGGAAGGAAGGAAGGAAGGAAGGAAGGAAGGAAACGAAAACT